AAAGGCCTTATCATGAGATAAACGTATGAAATTTTAAAGCCCTCGCTCCAACTGCTCAAAAATTACGGCCAAGGTTAAAGTTTTCAAAAGAACGTCAAAATCCAAAGTCAAAATTATTGGTATTGGCCAAGTTTAGACTTTTTAAAAGTAGGTCAAACTAAAAAAAACCCCCGGTCAATCCCAGTTAAAAAAAAAGCAGGTTTAAATCCATGGCATAAGACTTATCACAAATTAATATGGATGATGCTTCTAGGGATGGACACTTTTAACTTTTCAGAAAATGAGGCTAATGTTAAAGTTTGGTAAACTCTTGAAAAAGTTTATCAAACCCCAAGGCCAAGAGATCAAATGTAATGGTAGTATGGTACCCAAAGAAAGGCCTTGTCACAATGAATGCATATTTGAATTATGAATTGCTTCAGATGTCATAAACAATACTACATTTTTGCAATGACCAGGTTAAAGTTTTTGACAGGTTTATTCCCAATATATATAAGTCCTACCTGGATCAAACGATTACATAGATGATGCATCTAGGGATGGACATAAAAATTTGCTTCAGATGCTGGAAAAATCTACATGTACATTTTCCAGTTGAGTGACCAGTTTACGGTCTTTGGAGCAGGTCCATTTTCAAGTAACTATAAGCCCTATCCAGACCAAACTTGCATGGATGATGTATCTGGGGATGGACACTATTAGGTTACGCTTCGGATGCTGATCTGACCTACATTTTCAGATGAGTAACCAGTGTAATGTTTTTGGAGTAGCTATTTAATTTTATGGCCTGTTATGATTTAGCTTGCATGGATGATGCATCTAAGGATGGACAATCAAGACTTGCTTCGGATGCTGGATTTGAGCTACATTATGATTTTGTTGTATTTATTAAGAAAATATGATGTGAGATTTGCATTACTTAAACTGATAACATTCGTCGAAGTGAACTTCATAATCTTTGATTACCTATGTTTAAAAGTAGGTCAAACTAAAAAAATCAAGGTCAAAAGGTAAAAAAAAGTAGTGTAGAATCTAAATTGTTCAATTTACCCCCCCCCCCCCCCCCTCCGATTTGAACAAATTAGAATCTAGGGTAGCGCAAGGCCACGATAGATATTACAAAGGGAAAATCTGGTCAAGAATAGTATGGCCAAAATTACTCAGGAGAGCGATATGTGGCCCAAGGGCCTGTTGCTTTTAATTTTATGTGCAAAATCTTGACGAGAGCCCATTGCAAAGGTGTCTTAGAAACCACTGCTTTGCAAGGTACATTATACCGATACCCACTGTGATACGTAGTCAAAACAGAAAGATATTTTTAAAAAATCACAAAAATCCATCAGGAATGCGAAAAACTTTTCTATAAATGAGAGTATTAAGTTGGGGAATCCATTTTTTTTTCACAAAAAATTAATGTGTTATTTTCTCAACTTTTTTTTATCATTTCCTATTCCTAAAAATTTATTTTTTGAGAAGATAACGACAGAGATTTCATAGGAATACCCCTTGTCTAAAAATAAACAAGATTTTTAAAATACAAAGTATACGATTTTTCCTGACATTTTGTGCATCAGAATTCTGATTCAACTGAATCTGAAATAAATTTTTGAAACAATAAGATACTACTTTATTTAAATTAAGAATCAGAATAGTAAAATTCTTGTTATTTAAGTTTATAAACTTTATATAAAAGATGTTTTGAACATATTTTACTGAATGAATGAAAAGTATTAGAAAAAGTTCTTACATTTGGATCTTATTGGAAAGGGGCGTTTTAAAAAAAAAAAAAAAAAAAAAAAAAATCGCATAAAGTTATAAAATAATATTACTGGATACATGCTTACTTTTTTGGGTCATTTGTGGCAATTTTGAAAAAACTCCATGCATGCATGCACATTATACCATGCCTATTATGATTTAAAGAAAAACATTTTTTTAATACTGTATTCTTCTCGATATCTTATAGTAAAAAACGTAAAATATGATTTATTAAATGTTTATAATGAGTTGCATATTTATATGATTGATCGAATGCTTCTCTATAATAATAATAAACATTACAATGTATTTGTCTATATAAATGTTTTTTCTTCTTATACATAGAACTTGGTTTACGACTTTGAAATAAGATAATATACTAGTATATATCTGTCACATAATCACTAATGCATACAAACAAACACACACACACACACACACACTCACACACAAACAAGCCTTATCTACAGATAGGCCGTTTTTTCAACGTATTATCTCACAGTAGAGTATACAATACTAATTCTGTCTTTACCCGCTTCTTTTGGGACATCTTAACTGAGGGACACGTACCCCCTTCCCAAATAATGACAATGTAACCTCACAAATCATCCTTAAGGTGTGACCAAAACTGTCTCAGACTTCGCTAGAACGACTGAAGTATATGACGTTAGTAAAACGCTAGGCAGAGTCTTGTGTTTCTATTTGTGGTCTATTCGTTTATTTTAACTGACAAAATTTAATGAACCAATTAGCATAATAATAGAGAATGTTTTACTTCATCAGAAGCAACATGTGTGATTCATTTAATTTAAATTAACCAGCACAAAAGTCACGCATATACGCACATCCGCCGAATTTGCTCCCTAAATAAAGTCGATTTCATGAGTTACTTATGCATGGGAACTAAAAAAACAGATAATTATGTTCTCTCATTAAATCACAACTTTTTAAAAAAAAATTAAACTTAAGGTTTTGTGACTGTTTTATTTTCACGAGTTGTAATATTAATGAATAAGTACTACATGTAGGAATATATTTATTTTAATTGACGATGGGTGAATCAAGCGGATGGATTTCATTAAATATATAGATTATATATCTTAATTATTTAACACAAAAATGTTTATTCTTTTGCTCGGGAAGCTTATAAATTCCTTTTAAAGACAGAAGATGCACACACACACACACACACACACACACACACACACACACATATAAGAAATTGTAAATTCTACCTTCTTGCAGCAACCCGTAATAATCTCTACAAAAATTTTTTTTTATATATATTTTTTTTTTAATTTTTAAAGTGCCCATTTTTTTTTTTTTTTGTTTTTTTTCAATTTTTATGACAAGAGTTTGTTTGTAACAAATGGTCTATATAATTAATTTCCAAAATATTAAGAAATTTAGTAAATGAACTAACTCCTGTTTTGCAGCCACCTCTCTCTATATAATCTTTACAAATATTTTTATAGATCTATACTTTGAATCTATTTTTTTGTTGAAACTTTGAAGGAAAAATTTTAAAAAAGTATACGCGGTTAAACTTTTTCATTTTACTCATTGAAACATGACTCAGGTTGGTTATTTTCAATTTTTTGACAAAAGTTTGTTATATATACAAAAATAAAGATTTTATTCCTTGAATGGTCTGTAAAAATAAATGTGAGAATAATTCCCTTAAAAATTTTCGCATAAGTAAAAAATTAGATTCCTTAATCAATTCCGTCTTTTTGAAAATTTCAAGTTTGGTTAAATTTTGTCAAAAATGGAAAAGTTGTATACAAAATACACTGTTTTCATGACGTTACGGCGCAGGAGAGCAGTTCAGTTAGATTATGATGTTTTAATAACACTTTATATATAGATTTCACTGTGTTTGCGTTAATCAAGTCAGCTAATCCACACTACTAAAGCTAATTCCTAGTAATCCGTTATCGTTTTTATCCGTCTTTTTTCAGAAAAAAATGTATATATGATAAAACAATTAAAAAGTACATCATTGAAGGACAGTACATAACATAAAATATCACAATTTGTTCCACATATCTAAAATTTGCTATGTGTATTTATAATATATGTACTAAAAAGTATTGAAACTTTCAGAACGCAGTGATGATTATTTTTCAAACTAGACAATTTGTCCACGATTTAACGGGACAACCCTCGTACGTCCAAGTTGAGGGGAACTGGAGGTGACTTTAACTGTTTTATATCAAAACACAGAGTTTATTAAATAATTATTAATATTTCTGATCTTAAAATGAATTTAAAATTTTCCCTTTATATCTCAAAGACTTACTTAGCTGCAGAACTGTAGCATTATGGTTTTATATATTACGATTTGACCAACTTACTTTGTCTCATTGTTTCCCGACCTCAACTCCAGGGTTCATGATATCAACAAAAATAAATATCTAAATTTTAGGAGCTAGAAATTGTTATGCGTTTTGTCTTCTCTGACAAAGAAGGACTGCATCCATACATTAAAGCTAAGTACATTTTTTATTTCATTTCTTGATTGCAAAAATTTAAAACTCCAGACTTGAATTGAAACATAACAACCAATTTTATTCAATTCTTTTTTTTTTCCACTAAAAGACTATATCTGAAAAAAAAAACATTTTTGATAAAATTGCATATGAGAAAATATTCTTTTGTTAAACGGCGAGCTCATTAATTAATTTTAAAAATATGGCATCAGTTTTAGTTTTTCTTTGGGAAAGCCGAATTAGGCTTTAATTAATTTAAGTAAGATCAACGAATATGTACAATACTGTGATAATTTTTAAAAAATCTGCGTAAAAAAACTGAAGTGTTGGTTCTTACTTATAGGTCAGACAATTTCATCATTACTGTGAAAGATATTATTACATTACTTTAGTTGGAAATTAACAAATAATCACATAATATTATAAATGACATCCTTTTGACTTCTAAGCTGTAACCGATGAATTTGCAATTGATTGATTGATGACTGAGAAAGCATTTTAAATACAATTAAGTATACCATTCTTGGCCACCCATACTTGAGAATGTTGTAAAATCCTAAAAGTATAATCCCCCTTATTTTATATATTTGCGTCACACTTGCAATGAATTTGTGCTTTGACGGATGATAATCATGAAAACGTGTTTTCTGCAAGTTATCTCGCTTGTTCCAATCACCTGGAATCGTCAGCCTATCTGTCAGATTCTTTCGCAATGTCTAAAAATAGCTCGGGTAGTCTTCAATATAAATGTTTGCCTGTCGTAAGGTCGGTGTATATCGTCTTTGAAAATGCCTGAGAGAATAGGTGATATAGAGCTGGTGGAGACGGTTCACCCTATGAACGGAACCCCAATCTGTGACTCAGAAGACACTGCCAAAATGTACTACCAGAAATATACACCGAGCATGATTTCAACAGCAGCTCATCTGGACAAAGACTCATTAAACTATAGAACGATGAGATGTGTATCACCGGACACTCAACTGACCATTGTAGAGGACAAATGCATAAAACGGGAGAAGCCAGGCCGCTGTTCTCTGTGGATGCCGTGGTTGAAGTTTTCGTCTTTTTTGTATTTGATTCTGCTTATTTTGCTCATTTTGTGGGCGTTACATCAGCATAAGGTGTACCAGGAGAGGGGGGCAGGTACCATACCATACCAGGTGAGTCAGTCCGGGGACAGGTCCGAAAACCCGGGGGGGGGGGGGGGGGGGTCTGTCGTCATTGACCTACATCCATAACCTTTTTTAATAATCATATTGATTGTACAAGTCGATGACATTCCATCAATATCCTCTATTGACTTTTAAAAAAAATTTATGAAATATTTGATTCAATGTAGCAATAAGCTTTGTTTAATCTCTATATTTTTTTTTTATAAAGCTACAAATTAATATTTAACCTTTTTATTTTTCAACATGGAACCAGCAAATCCAATTTAATTAGAATATTAACATTCTAAATATTTTATCTGTTTTTAAAATACCATATACATATACCTATAAAATCCACTATAAAACATAGAAAATACATTTATTTATAAATACAACTTGTGCTCAAAGGCAGTATATTAGTACAGTTTCTTACAAGGCTTCCCTCATTTCTTCTTGTGTCACTGCTTCCCTATTAGTCATAGAAAATGTACGTGTAACTTTCTATACTATGTTAGAAATTTGTCGATTGTTTGAAAATTTTGGCGAGTAGAAAATTTTACCCTCTTTCATTGTAATATTTACCATTATTAAAATTAATTATGTTTAAAAAAGAAGTAAACAAATAAATAACAAATAAAAATGAAATCTTTGAAGGTTATGAGTTGATTCGTCGATTACGTAATCTATTCCACATAGTTTAAAGTAGCGTATCCTAAAGTTAATAAAAATAAATCCTTACTCAATGACTAGTTGTTTCACTGCATCCTTAGTGCATTCAAATATTTCTATGAATTTATAATGTGTTCTGTTTCTTGGAATCATTGGATTCTTGATACATCTACATACTTTTAACAACATACTCAGTAATATGCACAGTTCAACCAATATATGCTAGTGTAAAATTCAGGCCCGTAGGAAGCAATTTCAGTTTGGGGAGCACAACCAATCAAAATTTTTCAGCTGAGGGCACTGTCAACTACCAAAATTTCCTTGTCAAGCTATAATAAAAAGATTATCGGACTACCCGGTGCCCACGGTTCCTACGGCCATGAAATTAATATATACGTCTCCTCTCATTTTAGGTTCCTTCCCTTGCATCTGCATTGACTGGTGATAGAGAGACTGGTGAGAACATTTATCTTATATCTAGTCCTTATATATAGTGTCAAAATGTGATCTTAGATCGACTTCTTACATTTAGTGTCAAAATGTGATCTTAGATCGACTCGTTATTATTTAGTGTCAAAATGTGATATCTTATATTAGCTCCTTATTTTTAGTGCCAAAATGTGAAGTCTTAAACTCGACTCCTTTTACATTTAGTGTCAAAATAAATGTAATATCTTATATCGACTCCTTTTACATTTAGTGTCAAAATAAATGTAATATCTTATATGATCGACTCCTTTTACATTTAGTGTCAAAATAAATGTAATATCTTATATGATCGACTCCTTATACATTTAGTATCAAAATAAAATTAATAAATGTGATATCTATATCGACTGCTTACAATTAGTGTCAAAATGTGATATCGTATATCGACTCCTTATATTCCGTATAAATTAATACATCGTGATATCTTATATCGACACTTTAATTATGTGGATTCCTTTTATTACTTGTCAATACGTGATATCTTGTATGGACTCCTAAATACATGATATCTTATGTGGACTTCTTGTAAGTTGTATCTCGTATTAGCACGTGATATATAATGGGGACTCGTTGTCTGCTGTATTGCCACGTGATATCTAATGCGGACTCGTTGTATGCGGTATAAGCACGTGATATCTAATGCAGACTCGTTGTATGCGGTATTAGCACGTGATATCTAATGCGGACTCGTTGTATGCTGCATGTATTAGCACGTGATATCTAATGCGGACTCGTTGTATGCTGTATTGTCACGTGATATCTAATGCGGACTCGTTGTATGCTGTATTGCCACGTGATATCTAATGCGGACTCGTTGTATGCTGTACTACCTCGTGATATCTTTGATCAACTCTTTAATACCATGTCTATACCGATGTCTTATGTAAGACTGTCATTACGTGATATCTAATGCGGACTTCTTGTATGCTACAATCAATAAGTTGATTAAAGAATCAACTTCTTAATTCCGTGTCAATATGTGATATCTCAGATCTACTCCTTTATATTCAGTGTCAGAAGGTAAGCGCAATTGATATCTGAGATCCCGAACATGACAAGGAGCACACGGCGGGTGTGACCGGTCGGCAGGTGATGTCCACTCTTTCGTGGCACCTGATTCCACCTCTGATCCAATTTTGCATTGTTTAATGGACTTTTGAGCTTGAATACTGTTTGCCGTCTTCATACATTTCTTCTAATCATGCCTACACGTGAAAGATTTTGATAACTGAGATCGACTCGTTAGATTTTGTGTCAATACATGAGAACAATTTGGATATTTCAAATCGAACCCAGATATCCACAATATCACATATTTATCATGTTTATATTCATATATACACAAAAAAATTGTCATTTTCCTACATGCATTTTATTTTTAAACTTTTTAGGTACATCAGAAAGATCCAAAGCTTTACTTCATCAGAGTCAGAACATACCGACCCGAGGTAAGTACAGGGTACGGGTGTTCGTAAATCGCCTCATATGATAGAATTTTTATTATATGTTGAGAAAATTCATAAAGAAATCATTTTGATATTGATTCACAAAAGCAAAACCAATGATAAAGTTTAACCAAAACTATAAAAAGAAACAACATTGCCTAGGAGGAGCAAGAACCTCGAACATTGGCGAGATTTTCTCTCGGTCATGGTGACAAGTGTTCAATGTGACATTTTACATTTAAGAGAATCATGCTTGCCTTATCAAATAAGTAACACATTAAAAACCGTTTGTTTAATTTCAGAGCCAGAGATAATGATATGGGAGGAGCTTTCTTCTTCATACATAACCGGAACTGACATAAAGTACAGTAATACTAGTAGACGATATTACGTCAGTTCCGGCGGATATTACGAAGTACAGTGTCGTTTACAGTTTGACACATATTATGATAGTGTACCAGATAATGATACCACGATATACTTTTCCATGATCAGAAGCACGGGGCCTGGTAGCAGTGTAAATCTGATGTCTGAAAAGGCAACATTGAGACCCCGTACTCACCGGGGGATTCAGCTAGGACCCACCGTGTTCTATCTGGAGGCCGGAGATTCGGTATATATTTCTGTGTTGGGACACAAATATGTGTACCATACAAAAGACAGCTATTTCGCGATGAGGAGAATTGAATGAAAAATTCCAGAACTTTTGAATTTAATTTTGAATATGCATGATTTGTGAGGTGCGTATTGCATTTAAATCCATGTAATACTAGTGTATAGTCGTTCAGTGAGTACTAGTTATTTGACATAAAAAATTTCTGATTGCTGCATATTTGTACCGTACTTTATGTATGTCAGTTAGTCATAGATTAGATGATTTTTAAAATTAGTAGTTTTGTATACTGTCACATAGTGTAATAAATAATGTAAAATGACTTGTGGATGCTATTAGATAGTAGATTGCATGTATACTTGTGCTATTTATTATGATGTATATTGTTTAGTAGTATCTTGTACATAGACACACAGAAGGTTGATGTATCATTAACTAATTATTTATTATTTTATATATAGTTAATGCTCAGGGATGAATCGTGTTATGCTCAAAGCAAAACGATTATTAAGAGCGTACATGTAAATTTTCAGTCATGAAATCATATATGATCAATTCACAACATATGTGTAAATAAAACTGTTTTACAAACTTTTACTTCGACATTACTTGTTCTTGCTTATTTTTTAATTGCTCGCCGGAATCAAAGGTTCAAAATTACTGAGTTTTTCATTATTTGTCTGTCGGCTGTGTCGTTGTTTTATAAACTATTATATGGACCAATTGTAATAAAAATTTTCACAATGTATCCTTTTTTGAACACAGACAAAAAAATTTAAGGTTTGAGTCTCCTTTTAAGGGGATTGATAAAGGTAAGGCAAAAGGATCATTTAAAATATTTCCTCAAGAACAGTAAGGTAAAAAAAAAGGAACTTCTGACATAACACTAGTATACTGTTGAAACCAATCAATAAGTCAGTCATCACACCAAGGTAGGATAAGACCATCGCTTGAAACACAAATTCACATTTAGCTTATAATTTAAAAAATCTTTATATATCTACTCACGAATAACATGGTCTGCATTTGTGCAAACAACATGGTTTGATGCCCGGGAAGTGCATATTCAAGATGTGTTCGAATCATGAAACCCATGAAAAATCTCCATTAACAGCATCCCAATATGTTGTGAATTGTTAAATTATGCCCCCTGGACTAAGGCTTAACTTTTATACGAGAGAAATATCAAAACTCGTCATCTGGAAAAACGGGTGAGCGTTATGAACAATGGGCCTCTTAATTTTTGGGGGTGATATGCGGATTGGGTGTTTACGGTATTGTATTACCGTGCATTTATTTAATAACAGTTTATATTATTTTAATCATATATTCCAAGCCCTCTGATTGGCTTTAACTTGGTCACATGATTAAGTATATAACAGCATATAGACTTGAATTACTATTTATAGAATCTGAAATGCATATCGACTTAATGTTTCTTAAAATGGAGGTAATTTTCTGTAAAACAAAAAAATTAATAGTAGTGATTTCACAATTATAGCTAATACAGTATATGACTTGATGTTTCTGAAAAAAAAAAGCTTCAACTCTTATTTAAATGTGTAATGTTCTGTAACTGATAATACGTAACACTGGCCTGCATTAGGATCTACTTAATATTAGAACATATTGAATATCTTTGTCAAAATTGATGCAAAACATAATCAAAAAGATGTATATTTGTAGAATTTTCAATAAGTAAATCCTCTAAATTATTTTTAAGAATGTAAAGGAAACATTTATTTTAAAAAGCTAAATTTATTTTGATTTCTATTCTTTAAGTGTTTAAGAGACAAAACTTGTGGTTTGTTCCAATTTCTCAAATTGTTTTTTTTATCAACCTCTGTAAAAAATAATATAACAAATGTAGCCCTTTAATTCGGTCAATCCATAGATAATTATATCGACTTTACAGAAAAGCATGTTGACCTCGCACTTCGTGCTCGGTCAATATGCTTTTCTGTGAAGTCGATATATCTATGGCTCGACCTCATCAAAGGGCTATATTTATATAGTATATTTTATATATTTATAATACATTTATTTTTTAAAGTTAAATCAAGCTGCGATTCAGGTCAATGTTTTAAAATATTACTCTTTTAAATGTCTAGTAGTACATATTTAAATGTATATGCATACGTATTGCGTACTGTAATAATTGGGGTTTTCCCACGCTGGAGTTTTGAATTTATTTATACTTACTCGAAACTGATGTATAAAGTATCGTGCACTGTTTTGACAGTTTTTGCTTATGTTTTAAACAACATATTTTTTCAAAATTGGGTAAATCTTAAAATTTATCTTATCATTTTAAAGAAAAAGATTACAAAAATTCAATAAAATAGTGAAAATCAAAGTTATATACAGGCATGATAAAATCTCTTTTATGAATGAGGGAGCATAAAATTAATGTTGTTTAAATTAAGATTGTCATGTAAGGTTTGTATACGTTGTAGTTTGTTCAAAAAAACCTTTAACACACCGTGCGTTTAGAATTTTCAAGTTGGTAGAAAATAAAGTTTAAAAAAGAAAACAGATTTTCCCTGTTAATTTTGATAATAAATAAAATATGTGGAAATATGGAACAGTATTCGAGCTCAAAAGTCCATTAAACATTATAAAATAGGAGCAGAGCAAACACGGACCTCCAAAACATCAGAGGTGGGATCAGGTGCAATGGAGGAATGAGCATCCCATGCTGACCGATCACACCCGCCGTGTGCTCCTTGTCATGATCGGGAAATAACGCGAAAATCTGTTGACAATTCAGTGTGTAAAAAAATGGCCTAACAATTCGTATGAAAAAGTCAGCATTTGACTTGACGATAAATTGTATTTGCTGACAAGGTCATTGTATCGATCACAGAACTTACGAAATGATAACTTTAAACGAGACTGGAGATATTCTTGTTTCATCAACTTGTTTGTCATTAGCTTACCTCGTTTTATAAAATTGTTCATACGTAGAACATGCTCTTCCGTATCGAATCAACTGAGAGATATAAACACCGTATGCGGGTGACAAAGGCATATTGCTGCATGAAGTAAGGGAAGTTGACGATTGAAAAGTTAAATTCATCACGTTTATTATAATTTCTTGTTGTTAGATAACCACTAACGTCTTTTTTTTGTAAAATATCCAAATATGAAACAGTTGTGTCAGACTCTGTGGTAAAAAAAAAATGTTGGACATAAAGTTGAAAGATATGACTGTTTAGTTTGTTATTCTGTCAATTTTATTTGGCATTTACTACGAAACAGTTAAGCTGTAAACTTAACCATACATCAAGCAATATTTTTCCATGCACAAAATTAATTTTAGTACAAAAGTATATGATATATAGGCTCTTCTAGGAAACGAACAGGAATATATTATATGCATAGTTGATGGTACGAGGATTGATACAATTGAAACTGAAGTACAATGTCATGACACAGAAATAAGCTGTATGTATAGTTCTGCAGTATAACGGCTCACAAACCTTGTATACTTTGAATTTAAATTTTGGACCCACTGGCTTCTTGTGGAAACAATTTAAAATACTAAATATTAAAACTTTCGGCTAGTTTGAAGCTTTGTATCAATTAAACTTGTTTTTATTTTAAATTTGTGATCAAAATTAAATGTAAATTTGTTAAATAAATATGGATTAAATAGTTAACTTGAAATATTTGTTTTCCATTCACAGAGAAAAAGTTTCAATTAGTGCATATCTGTAATGTTTCAATTAAAAAAAAACATTCATTAAAAAAAATCTAAATTCAGATTAAATACAAGGATTTTTAAAAGTTTAATCTATATATTGCATCTTTTTGTTGTTTCCAGAGTATAGAAGAATATTCGTTTTTTAATGAGGCATTTCCCTTTAGAATAGCTCTTGAAAAAGACTTTCTATCTTATTCTAATTTCATATCTTTATATTTTGTTTCCTCAAATTGCATTCGCGCAGCCAATTTATTTTGTAATTTAGTACTGAACATCCTGTATATATATTCGCTAAATAGACATTGGTTTACGATTTCTATTATCATGATTAAAGCTCTGTACACAGTCCAAATCTATTTAGGTCAACAATTTCCGACATGCGCACTTCGTAGCTATTAATGTTGATAGAAATCGGATTTCCCCTTACAGAACGGGAATTCCATGTCGTTTTTAGGCACCAGCTCGGACTCTTCCCAGGCATTTTGATGTAAACCTGATCATGCCGACAGTTTGTGAGGAGTCGGGGGCCTCAGGCTCGTCCGTTCATTCTACATTGGATCTAAAGAAGAAACTTTTATCACAAGACACCACGTACGAAAAATGCACGTGCCATGTGTTTACCCCCAGTGGAAGACAGTTTGGGAGGACGATATCTTTAGATCCCCAACTTCTGAATCGATGTGCCGAGTGTCACAAGGAGAAAGGTAGACCAAAACTTCTTCATTATAACTATGAGAAAATCACCGAGGAGAATGAAGACTGTGGGATCAGCAAGTCGGGGGATCGGCTGGGGACAGTGGTACTAGAGGATAGGGTGGGGGGAACTAAACTATTCGACGATACGGACGGGGATGTGAAAGAGAAACTAATTAACGCTAACAGTGAACAAAGTGAAAATGACACAAATAATAAACTAGAGATAGAGGACGGGGACCCAGAAAAGGGGCTAGAACCTCCCAGAAGAAAGCCCTGGACTAGGAGAAAATTAGCCCTTAAGATTTCATTATTATTGATTGTAATTGTGTTAGCCATAACCGGGGTGGTTCTGGGAGTTACGAACATGAAATCCAGGGTAAGTTATCTGTTTTTATAGCTGTCATAACAACTCCACTATCGTCATATATTATTTAAGCATTTGTACTTCTGTTGAAGTAACGACTGATAATTTCAAAGTGAAATCGATAGACTTGCAAAGTATTTTAATGCTCTGAGGTAACATTAGGCCCTAATTATTGTCTAATTGAAAAGAATATTATGATTAAATGATATGATTTACGAGGAGTAAGTGGTGTAAACACACCTCCCTCACGGGTTAATAATCAGACCAAGTCGGTTAATGGCCCATTCTGTATTTCGCAATCCATGCACCTGTAAACATTCTAGGCTCTGCTGAATGCATAGGACTATATTTTTTTTTTCTATCATTACAAACATCACGTATGAAAATTATTATTAAGTACATGAATTAAAACCTTTCCTAGTGTTGGTGTAAACAGATAAGGAATTTTTCGGGTATCATAATGGGTATAACCTTAAATCTTTGACAGTTTGTTTGACGCACCATTTAAATGCCTCGTCCAGTGAAGTTAATTTGCTTTAAAAATTTTAATCTGAGGGAGAGATATAGAGATGCTAAAAATATGAATGAAAAATAAATTATAATACTCTAAAAAGTGCAATCCTTTGGCAATATACGATCCTTGAATGTCATTATGCATGTTACATCAGATGTTTGCTGGGCGTTTGTGAAGATGATGAAACATTTACCTGTCTTTTTTTTTCTTTCCAGGACAAGCTACCTCCAGTTGAAATGAGATTAAAACAGCCTCCCACTCCGTCCCCCGTCACTCCGTCCCCCGTCACAGGTAAATCATTACTAGGAAAGGACTTAAGGTGTTACCCTTATATATACTCTCCCCCCACCCGTTGGTGGCTCATTTATAAAATCCATTGCTACTTTTCTGTCGACTTTGTGAAATTCGGTTAGGGATGCTTTTTTTGATATTTTCAGCTTTCTTCATACGGAATATATAGATTATAAAACTCTCCTTTTCTTTCAGGAGTCCATAAAGATCCTCCTATGAACAACTGCTCCTTACGGATGGAGCTAGATAAAGATAGTATGGAGACTGGTAAGAGAATTTTATAAGTTTTTATTGTTGAGGATTTCATTCTTCGTACATGTAGATACGTATATCTGAATTTGTATACTAGTAGAATAAATATTTTAAATCGTTCGCATTCACCATATCTTTAGGTGGTTGGAGTAAACTTGAAGTTAGAACACACGCCTGTCTTGTGTATATACTTGTTTTTAGCACACTTTGATCCCTATGGAAGTGTTTTTCAATGATTCTTGCCCTTTCGTGTTTCCAGCTATCATATAATTGGAGGATTATAAATCACTTAAACATATTGTTGTTTTCTGAGTAGGTAGAGATGCCTCGATTATAACTTCCTCAATGAGAGGCGGCATGCTGTGAATAATCTAGTTACGTGAAGCTTCACATTTATTGAAACGCCCTTCTGTTCTGGTGTATCTCTAAATCAATTCTAAACTTCATCAAAACTTCCTTAAACCAGCTGGAATTAAGTAATATATATATCTTAGTATTCCATAGTATGAAGAAATGGGAGTTTTCGACCTTATATAGGCTATGTACATGTATAGTCAATTCTCATTAGATCGCGGGTTTCATTGTATCGCGGCATATTAAAAAAGTCAGATACATAGCTTATATGCTTTTTGTTGAAAAAACTGTCAGTCTGTCATCTGAATAAAAATTTTTGTGATGATTAAAAAGTATGGAAAATGCGTCTGAAAAAAATTATTCAAATAAAACTTAATTCTACAGAAATCGATCTTCGTTTTTATTATTTTTAGCCCACTGAGTTTATAATCTAGTTAAATCCATATAAAGTTCATGTTTTGAAAGTCATTAGTTTGTATAATTGTTCATTTTCTTATGTAAAATTACATGGTAAAATAAAAAATAAGAATTGAAGTCCATGTCAACCACAAGTTTCAATGTTTTCCCATACCGCGATACTATGAGACTCTCCAATTTAGTAAATGAGACTATATATATCTTTATTTGGAAAATAATTTGATACTAAAAAGTTAGGCCATAGTTTGCTTTATTAATATCATTTGATGAAAGTTAAATTTAAAAAATCAAATTACACTTTTTTATGCAAAAGATTTAAGTACCGCGATATAATGAGACACCTGTATACATACATTTGTAACTAATTTGATAATTTTTTCAGTAGTTTGTGGTTCAAATAATTTGTACTGATTTTATAAACACGACTTAATCCGTAAACCATTTTATTTTTTGTTTACTAGGAACTCCGGACACTTTTCAGTCACACACGCTTCCATGGAGACCGCTGCTGTCGCACTCCGCCAGCAACGCCATATTTTATTCACCGGAAGCTAAGACGTTTAACGTCACAAAATCCGGGCACTTTACAATTCATGCTGATGTTCACATAGACACTCATTTATGGATCAGCAGTGACGATCTTCGGAAGACTTTTTCCTCCATTTTGTGTATCCAGTTTCCTACAAGAACACCAGCAAAGAAATGCAACACGTCTAAATATGTAGCTCGTACGGTGCGTGCACAGTCTGTTCATACAGACATTTATTTACAGAAAGGGGAGACATTTTACGTGACTATTGAAGTGTTATCGTTAAATATGATATACCACCTTCAAAGAGACAGAAATAACATTATAGAAATTACATTTAAAAATTGCTAGTCATGTCTATAGTTGTATATTACTGTATATATTTGAGTTTTATTTATATTTTTTGTTATTTTTTAATATTGAAATAAAAAAATATGTATATAAATTGAATTCCATTTTTTATAATGTTTTTAATACATCATTTTCATCCCAAAACTTGATATATTTGTGTTTTCACTTCATGCGCGGATCAAGTGGGGGATTGGGGTCCCGGGTCCGAACCCCCTGGAATTGGCAGAGTAATTAAATGTATATACTAAACCAAGTAAAAGTGACCTTGGACCCCCCCCCCCCCCCTAAAACGGAGATTCCTTTTATTTATCAATTTAAAGTGTTAATACGTTTTTCAAAGTCTTTAATTAGCAATTTGTCAACACGATTAGTCACTCTTCACTGTACAACAGGCGTTGACAGAGGTGTAAGTGAAGCTTGCGTAGCGTCCTCTGGTGAGAGAATGGATCAGTTGTGGGATCCCAATCCTAATGTATTTTCATAATATTTTAATATCAGTTTGCATGGTTACTGAATATCATACAGTTTCAAAGAACAGTGTTAGATAAGATTTATTAATACCAATTTGGGGCCCATCAGGGCATACAAGTAAAGAGAAAAACATACAAGAATTTATTCAAAAAGGGCTTAGTGATATAAATAATTCATCAAAAGGTCAAATTTACAAAATTTTTAAGAGTGATTTTGGACGTGAAAAATGTCTTAAGTATTTTACCTAGTAAACTTCAAAAAATACTAATAGAATTTAGAACTTCAAACCACCACCTCCCAGTTGAAACTGGTAGATGGTCAAATATTCCATTAGATGAAAGAGTTTGTAAATTTTGTAATACAGGGCAAATAGGAGATGAATTTCATTTCATTTTAGAATGTAAAACATTGAATAGCATCAGAAAGAATCTTTTACATCCCAGATTTTGTAAAACGCCAAATACGCTTAAGGGACCAGGCAAAATTTATCACAATGATGGGACCAGTAGAAAACAAAATTCTCATTTAAAAAAAGTACGTGTCCCATGACATTAGTATTCAAAAAAACATCTGTCCCATGGCTAGAGACGTATAAAAAAGTTTCGGTCCCATGGCTACATCTTGGTGTTAGTGTGATAATTGGAAAAAAAAAAAACTAAGGAGTCTTTCAGACTATGATCACATATTTTAAACATCGAAAAAAAAAATTTTTTTTTTGTTCAATTCATCTGTCGTAATATATTTTCCATTAAAAGATTTATGCTGCAATTTGTATCCTTCACTTCAGTTTCAAAGATATGATTTTTTCTCGATTTTTTTAAAAATAAGATGAATATTTCTCTTGGGTTAAGTACTGCAAGTCATTGAAAAAAAAATTGTGACCCATGTGTACTTAATGCAAGAAATGTTTTTATCCCATGGTTTTATTTGATAAAAAAACTCATTGCCCCATGCCCGTTTGTACCGGTGTCCTTTCTGACATAATTTATTTTGTTCAAATAAAATCTGCAACATGACGACTTTAAGTCGTCATGTTGCAGATTTTATTTGAAAAATAAATTATGTCAGAAAGGACAGTTATAACTAAATGACTACTGACAATAGAAATTATGAGTTTAAAGATTTTTATTTTTCTTATTTCATTAAGTTGTTTTCCACTTCTTTTAGTTTCTGTAATTATTTAATTGTTTTAATTTTCAAACAACCGATCAATTGGAATTAATTCAATGTTTTATAAACAGACGATGTATATCAAAGAAAGACTTTTTAAACATAATGTACATGCATTATTTATTTGTTGACTTCGTTTAAAGAAGACATAAATTGCGTAAAATGTTTAGATCAATAATAATCAACAGTTAAGGATGTAAAAGGATGCCTTTTTCTTTTGGTGTGAATTATTTATGATTATTAGATTTTTTATTATACATGTAGAAATGTAAAATTGTACTTGAGGGTTTCCTTTTATCTGTGTAATTTTTTCAATCAAAGAAGGTGTCAACCATTTGATTTAGTGTTAATTCCTAAGGAGTTATGTTCATAGTTAAAGTATGGTCAATTGGTCAAGTAGATAAATAAATTACATAATAAGGAAGTGAGAAGATTATCCGTAAATTGAATTTTTATGCATGAATATAGATTTTGATTGGTTAATTAATACCTGTGCAGGGAAGCGTGGAGTCTCCGATATAGATTGTTTCCCCTACTGGGATCCATCTGATCGGAGACTGCAATAAAACAAGTTACATTTTATTTACGCTTTCCCTGGTTATATATATTTTACAGGTATGATACTAAATTTAACTAGCAATTATTTTTCTTTGAAAATTACTTAACAAAAAAATTTGAACTTTCGAGATTTATTTAATCTTTCATCTTTCGTTTTTGAGTTTACGAATAAAATTATTTAAAGTTTATAATGTATATATGTTTAACTGTTAAAAGATTTTGGATTTTATTGTTATGACATAATTACAATTTTCTTTGTTTGGGATTATTTTTTCTTTATGAATGAGCCAAAACTCAGGTAAATATTTCAATTGTTTACATTATTGTGATATAGTTTTAAAATTGTTTGATATATGGGTCACCAGGTTAGGTTGATTAGGATCTCTGTAATTTGTAAATGTGTGTGTAAATATATTTTTACTTATTGTAAACTATTTTTTTCTAACAACATCAATAAAACAAGTTTTTTATTTACGCTTTCCCTGGTTATTGCAGCCCGGAGGACCTGTGATATATAAGTTTAAGTGTTGGTTTATTTTGAAAATTGGTTTTCTAAACATTGAAAAGATTTTTAATCAGTCACTTTCAGGTTATAATTTATGATTATATTTTAATTTGTATATATGTTTTTCATTTGTAAAGTTGCTTATCATTTACTATAGCCATTGAGCATAACAGTTCTATATATTTTTACATTTTTAAATATAGTGACTGTGTCTAACTTCAATTTATATTTTATGCAGCCAACATTTACTTGGGAATTGATCAAGTTTAAAATGGTATCGTTTTTGATTGATTTTTATCCGACTAATAAAACAAGTTTGATGATTTTATTGTTTACTTTTATATATTTCCCTTGATGGTTATATATATTTTACAGTCATCCCAAACCGTATTGGACAGGAGACTGGGTCAAAAGGGTCCCTCACTGCAAGCGAGTTCCCCAAGCTTAAATAAACAGTCAAAACTAGACACGACACCGGTCCCATCATTGTGATAAATTTTGCCTGGTCCCTAAGTTTTGTGAAATTATGTCAACGACAAATTTAAAATCTTTAAAAAACCTTTGTATATTTATATCTAAAATAAACGACACCGTCCGTCTGTCCTCCATAATTTAAATGTTACCATACCCTTTTTAGCTCACCTGAGCCGAAGGCTCAAGTGAGCTTCTCTGATCACATTTTGTCCGTCGTCCGTCGGTCCGTCTGTCTAGCTGTCCGTCTGTCTGTCTGTCCGTCTGTAAACTTTTCACATTTTCGACTTCTTCTCAAGAACCACTGGGCCAATTTTGACCAAACTTGGTTCAAAACATTTTGTAAAGGGGAATGTAAATTGTTAAATTAAAGGGCCAAGTCCCCTCACAAGGGGAGATAATCAAGAAAAGACAAAAATAGGGTGGGGTCATTAAAAAATCTTCTTCTCAAGAACCACTGGGTCAGAAAAGCTGAAACATGTGGAAGCATTCTGGTATAGTGTAGATTCTAAATTGTTCAAGTCATGATCCCCCGGGGAAGGGCGGGGCCACAATGGGGAATCAAAGTTTTACATAGAAATATATAGGAAAAATCTTTGAAAATCTTCTTCTCATTGTGGGCCTAAAAGCTGAAACTTTGTGGAAGCATATATAGTGTAGATTCTAAATTGTTCAAATCATGATCCTCGGGGGAAGGGCAACAATGGGGAATCAAAGTTTTACATAAAAATATATAGGAAAAACCTTTGAAAAAGTTCTCAAGAACCACTGGGCCAGAAAAGCTAAACTTATGTGGAAGCATATATAGTGTAGATTCTAAATTTTTACATCATGACCCCTAAAACACACAAAAAATTTTACATAGAAATATATAGGAAAATCTTTGAAAATCTTCTTCTCAAGAACCACTTTGCCAGAAAAGCTGAAACTTATGTGGAAGCATCCTGGGGTAGTGTAGATTCTAAATTGTTCAAATCATGACCCCCGGGGAAGGGCGGGGCAACAATGGGGAATCAAAGTTTTACATAGAAATATATAGGAAAAATCTTTGAAAATCTTCTTCTCAAGAACCACTGGGCCATTCAAACTTAAGTGGAAGCATTTGGGGTAGTGTAGATTCCCTTGTTCAAATCATGACCCCCGGGGGAAGGGCGGGGCAACAATTGGGAATCAAAGTTTTACATAGAAATATATAGGAAAAATCTTTGAAAATCTTCTTCTCAAGAACCACTTGGCCAGAAAAGCTGAAACTTAAGTGGAAGCATCCTGGGGTAGTGTAGATTCTAAATTGTTCAATTCATGATCCACGGGGGAAGGGCGGGGCAACAATGGGGAATCAAAGTTTTACATAAAAATATATAGGAAAAACCTTTGAAAATCTTCTTCACACCACTGGGCTTCAAACTTATGTGGAAATTAACTGTAGCATTCCTTGTTCTCTCTGAAGGGCCGGCCACAATTAGAATTAAAATTTTACATAGTAATATATAGGAAAAATCTTTGAAAATCTTCTTCTCAAGAACCACTTTGCCAAAAAGCATTTCCTATCCTGGTGTGTAGTGTAGATTTTAAATTGTTCAAATCATGACCCCCGGGGAAGGGCGGGGCAACTTTATAATCAAAGTTTTACATAGAAATATATAGGAAAAATCTTTGAAAATCTTCTTCTACCCCACTGGGCCAGAAAAGCAAACTTTTGCACATGGAATATTTGGGGTAGTGTAGATTTCAAAATGTCTAAATTATGATCAGTGGGGTAGGGTGGGGAAAATTTATTACAAGGGGAAATCTTAAAGAATGAATGGTAAAAATTTACTATTTTAGGTGAGCGATGTGGTCCAACACATATTCTTTTTTCATTGTGAGTTTATTGTTATACTTTGCACATATACATGTATGTGTATATGCCTCTCATTTATGCTATTGTATCATAATTATATTTATTATTTTTCTTACAATTATGACGACTAATTTATATATTGCACCTCATGTACCACTGATGTTGGTGTGAGTGAAATAAATGAACTTGAACTTGAGAAGAAATTCAAAATTGATAGTAGCAACTAACAAAAGATTAATGATGAGATTACAACATATATAATCGACATATTGTACATATAAGGCTTTTTTACTAGAGTATAAACATTATTTATTTACTCTTTTGCATTTATTTGGCGCAATTCCGGTGCGGGGTGCTTTTTGATAACCCCTCGTAGAGCCAATTATTATTTTCTCTGTGATTTGAACAATTATGATGAACTTCACTTTATATATAAATGTGATCTATATAAATTCTGATGTTGGACTTTGAGGAAATATTGGAATTTCAAATTTACAATATAATGATTTAAATGTTCTCTTTAAAATTGTTAACTCACTTCCCTCGTAATCTGCAAATTTTACAAAAGATATAATTTAAGATGAAAAATCACACGCATGTAAATTGTAATGTATATAAATTGTTAAAAGTATATAATCGAACATATTATGTTTAATATATAACGAATGTTTTTATATACACATGTCACTATAATAAAATATTTATTCCTCTTTTGCATTTATTTGTTTCTTTTTTTTAACATTGCGTAATTCGCTATTTCTTATTTTAAAGATATTGATTAAAAAATTACCCAGCTTGATAAGCAACATATCATTTTCGTTAGACATAATCCATAAATTTTTTCTTTATTTGTTAAAGTATAGAAATTGTTTATTACTTTTAGCAATAATCTTTAAAAAATCATCAGTATTATGATCTAATAAACATGTATACGAGGGTTGTCCCAAAATTTCGTAGACTGAGCTCATATCTTTTAAAGAAAATTATATATTTTTATAAAATTTTCTGGGTGGATAAAACGTGTTTTTGGCAGAAAAATTACAAAGTTTTATAATGTTTACTTTTTTGAGTATTAACATTTGAAGTGATATCGTTCTCTAACACCCGGAGCAATCTGCAACATCAAATAGACAAATGTCAAAGGCTCAATTTTTTAGGAAGATATTCCAATTACCAGAATCAAATTCTTTAATCAATCAAAAAGATTATAGATATAATGTGAAATATCTTAATTAATATGATATGATCAAACATTAAAATATGTAAACAAAGTGTATGCATGTACAGGTATGAAATAATAATAACGTGAAAAACCTATATTTCTACTAGGCTCTACGGGCTTTTTCGTCTCTCTTCTCAAATGGAGTTACATAGTGGCACTGTTGCTCAATTCTTACGAATGTCTTTTTTTTAGTTTCCATTATTCATTTACATAGAGAAACCATTTCAGTCAAGGACCAGAAAACATTTCCTTGCCTACCAAACATTTATGACTTGTACATTTCTGTAATGCCCTGTTCACACGGAGAGTTCAATTCGCAGTAAATTAATGCAAAGTAAACTAATGCGAATCAAACTAATGCAAATTAAATTGTAACTCTCCGAAAAAATATATTGACAGACCGGAGAGCTACAGTGCCACCCACTGAAAAAACTGTATATTTATTGCGCACAAAAAAGTGCGCTGTTTCTCGATTTATTTCTCCGTGTTTTTCACGTCGTCACATCAAAATATTACTAACCGTGTGATCCTAACATATTCTTTCGCTGTTTCCACAACAAAACGTTTCTTATAATTGTTGTATTTAGTCCTCCTGGCCCTGAAATTGAGATCATCAAAAATTTCGTCTATTTATACTGCCATATTTGTTTGCAAGATAATTCGGTCTAACATGCTTCTTGCAGATGCCAATTACGAGTCTACTTGATATAAAAGTTAGAAGTTTTTGAATTTTAGCTTTTTTTTTCAATTTAGGTAAGAATTTGGTAGAATTAGTACAGAACTATAAGCGCAAATTTTTGTGCGCAATAAATATACAGTTTTTTTCAATGGGTGGCACTGTAGCTCTCCGGTCTGTCAATATATTTTTTCGGAGAGCTACAGTTCTGCAGCTACTCCGCAGGTGACACAAAAATCATATCCAGCCACATACCATCCCAGAATGGTCCAGAATGACCAGCCCATAATGTCCTTGACCCGTCACACAGTGGAACATGTATATTAATTATGTTAATTACATAATCGTGATTCTCTCAAGTATTGTAACAGGAAGTACCAAAATATCCATGTCCGTACAAAGTATTAGAAGCGATTAAAGTATAAACATGCAGCTGTCACGAATTAGGATGAAAATATGTGGACAAGACGTGTGCCATGATCATTATCAACCTACTTCAAGACTCACGTACGTTCCTTAATTTTAGTATTTCATGCCGCCTTGTTTTATCGTAGAAACAGTGGGTTGATATGTTGACACAATTTATACATTTATCATAGTTAGGAGATGAGTAAAACTAATTAACGGAAGCCCAATGCAAGTGGTTATATCATCTTTCAATCATCCATGCAAAGAATAAGCTACAAATAAAAAAAATAATGTACACGTACTTTAAGAAATTTTAAAATATAAAATTTAAGGCGCTAAAAAGAAATCATCAGAAATTTTCAGGGTATTTTTAAAAACAGTGCGTATCGCGTAATTCGCGGATAGACACATAAACAGTAAAACACCCACATTCCTGGAAACCCCAAACGTCTAAAAATAGAATAGAGGAGTGGGCGCCGTGTGTTGATATGGCGGCCGGAGATGTCCCAAAATGTCCGGATTGCCAAAGAAAACAAACCCTGTCTCCGGTACCCGAATCAGGACAACCCCTGATCGAGAGCAAACAATGCCATTCCTGTAGAAAGCTTCAGAAAACATTTGTGGAACTCCCGGTACGGCCGTTATTCGCACGAAGTGTATCTTGCCCCGCCGGCTCTAATGTTGTGTCCTACGAGCAAAACGATGAAGTATTGAGTGCCTTACAGACTGAGGAGGAGGATAAAGACAGTTCTGCAGGTGTCACCAAAGTCGACTTTGGGGCCAATTTCGATAGTGAATCGTTGCCAAGGCAACCTGCTTGGCGAACTGTCGGCAAAAAAATAATTGTTTTTGTACCGATAGGACTGTTTTTGGTGGTAATTGTTTTGATTTGCGTAGTATTTTTGGGACGCAGAACCACTGGCGAGGGACCCACCTATAATATCCTGGTAAGTCAAATTCATAAGAAAACTTCATTTATATGTTTACAGTAAATATGTATATAATTATATTAAACAACAACTTCGAATGGCATCATGCGGTAAATAAATAATTAAAGCGTAAGAATAATTTTTTTTTTATCATTATTCGTTTTTAAAATAAATTTTGTGCAAAGAAAAAATGCCCGGTGATTTCTTACTTGAGTCCCAGCAGTTTATTTATATGTGGCAATTTGTCATTGCTAATTTTAACTTCTTTCACCGAATTTGAGTGCAAAGGTTATCAACAACCAATCAAATCCTTAATATTTTCAGAGCCCTATGAACCATGGCCTCACCAGGAATGTAACAGGTAAGCATTTCATTCATAATTTATCGTAAATACAGGAAGTCGGTCATGACTAATCAGCTTTTCCCAGACCGCAAAACGACCTTGGGGATATATAACATAAAAGTGCAAATGTCATCAAAGGCATTCATCGTTATAATAAATAAAACAATAATAAATTTCCCCATTTGCACAAGTTATTTATAATTTAAGCATTAAAGTAAAAGTGATCTTGACCTTTTTCTAGGAGTATTTTTAAAATTCTAAACTACTTCATATTCCTTCCAAACAAAAAAAGTAATGTGAATTTGCATTAACGGGTATAATCTCATGGATATGGGACACTACGAACTTTTCAATGGCATGCAAAAAGGGGGAAAAGGTTACTATTAAATTAAAAATTAATGTCTATCATTTTCTGTTTCAGATTCTCCCCATCATGTACATTGTACGTCACACAGTTCATTTCTTGTTGACGTCTCCAAACCTGAGGGTAAGAAAATCTAATTATTAAAAAGAAAAGACTGTACAAGTATTATTATACTTTTTTTTACACCTTTAAAAATCGTGAACTATGTAATTCTATATTTTAAAAGATCTCACATTTTCAATGTTTTTCTGAGTGACAATGAAATATTTGACTGCTATAACGTTTTTGTCGTGTCATACTGTAGGCGGGATCAGCCATATTGCATACTTAGAGAAAATAAAATTAAAATAAAAAAAAAGTTTAATAAAACATAATATATTGACTTGCTCTCGTTCAAATTCGCTTTGTCGACCCATCGAACCAAACTGAAAACAGTTTTCATTTTGGGTCCGAAAAACGCATTTTGCCATTGAACCTGGTTATTATTAATGCCCTGTTCACACGGAGAGTTTAATTCGCAGTAAATTAATGCGAAGTAAACTAATGCGAATTAAAATAATGCGAATTAAATTGCGTTCACACGACAGCTAATTCGAAGCAAACTAATGCGAATTAAAATTTTACTTCTGCAGCCCGGCGTCAGCAACTACATGACGTCATTTGCAGATCACGTCACCTTATGCAGAAGCAGATCCATTTATATATATTTTTGATGATTAACAAAATTTTCCTTAGTTTTTCACTCACACACAAGTACCTATAGCTGACCACCGACAAGTGGCATTTGACTAAATTTTGCCATGATGTAAATTTAATTCGAATTAGCTTCGCTTAGCGTTCACATTCCTAATTTAATGCACTGTCGAATTAAACTAATTCGCATTAAAAACGCTAAGCGAAGCTAATTCGCAGTAAACTTACGTTTAATTCGAATTAAACTCTCCGTGTGAACAGGGCATAAATACATTTATTGACTGGATTCGAGGGCAACATGCGTTTTGTCGGAAGCGTTTGCTTGAGGTCATTAACATTTTGTTCATTGACAGAAACAATTTTCCCGAGAACACATTCAATAACATTCTATTTATATACATTTTTTTGGACATGCATTTATCTTGATGTCTTGTAAAACATACTGTCGATATGTTAAGCTTCTTTGTGCGACGTAAGCGGTCCAACATCTCATTGACAGGCCCAATATCTCACTCCGATTTGTAAAACATACGATATGTTAATTCTTTTTATGCGCATGGATCGATAGATCCAATGCGTCTATTGTTTTTGTCCCGTCTCTCTGTCTGTTTGTTTGTTTGTTTGCTAACTTTAACCTTCACCATAACTTTTAAACCATGAAAGATAGAGACTTCATATTTAGTATGCATACTCCACCAATTAAGCTCTTTCAAATGACACCAAGGTCAATGACCTTGTGACCTTGACTATGGCCTAATTATGCTAAAAATAGTTTTTTTTCCTGCTAACTTTAACCTTCGCCATAACTTTTGAACTATGAAAGGTAGAGACTTCAAGTTTAGTATGCCTACTCAACTAATTAAGTTCTTTCAAATGATACCAAGGTCAATGACCTTGTGACCTTGACTGTGGGTTAATTATGCTAAAAATAGTTTTTTGTAACCTCACTTCAAGTTTAGTATGCATACTTCACCAATGAAGCTCTTTCCAATGACACCAAAGTCAATGACCTTGTGACCTTGATTGTGACCTATATGCTAAAAATAGCTTTTTTCGAACTTTGTTGCCGCCGGGCGCATAGTGTTTCACGAACACATCTTGTTTTACTTATAGACTTGTATATAACCAAATTTTTAAAGGTATAGCAAAATATTGTTACTAAGGTTTAGTCTGTAGCACTTTTATTCAATAATATGCAAATAACAGAAGATGATTATTTACTTTCAGTCCCCGACAACCAGCCTACCAATGTATATTTTAGACTTGTGAACTCGTCAGATAACAGCGTTAGTCTTTCCGGGGATGGACAGACCATCCATTTCAACAAACCAGGCCTATACGACATAGATGTAGATTTTATAATGGACACCTACTCCCTTGACAGCGTCTCTATTGAGCGGTCATATCACCAGACTCTCTGTCTGAACATCACCGGAAGACCCCCGGTCTGTCGGCCTCTGATCATGCGCGAGTGGATGAGACTGCCCCTGAGTGTTAATGCTGAAGTTCGCGTGCACAAAGGTCAGAGGGTATCCGTATTTGTGAAGAACCATAAACTCTTGTTTCCGGATCCAAACGAAAACAAGTTGTCAATAGTAAAGAGATATTGTTAAATCAGGAAAGAATCCAACTAAGACTTTGTCAGGGAATATGTTGCAAAGTAAAAAGTTAAGGAACTGAGGTTTTACATGGTATTTCATTGCTCAACAAAAATCCGCCACCCTATTGAATTCTGTGATAACATTAACTAGTGCCGTGACATAGAAGCCATGAAGTGACAGTTTCTGTTCTGTTATACAATAATAATTGTCTTTTTCATTATACAGTGACAGTTTTCTGTTGTGTTGTAAAGTGACATACCTGTTCTGTTGTACAATGACAATTTACTTTCTATTCTGTTGAATAGTGACAACTGTGTGCTGGCACACTAATACGTTTTATTAATGAGTATATTTTTAGCATATTTTTCAGTATTAATGCAGTTGTTGCATTAGATAGCATTAAAATGCTCTCTGGACAGTTAGTCTTTTGTGTGGACAGTAAATGCAGATCACTTTTTAAAAAAACAACCTGATGTAAAGGTGCAAAGACTGTTATAATGGCTCTCTCACAAAAAATTATTCGCGTTAATCTGTTTCAAAGTTTATATTGACATCATGATATTGTTAAAATTGCCAAAGATATTTTAGAGTATTTTTTCAGAAAAAAATGTTTGATGAATTGTATGCATATTTTATTAAAATAAAAGAACATATAAAGTCTTTGTTGTTCTGGAGAACTTACTATTAAGCAATGAAAGGGAAGATATGTTATTGATCCAGCCAGCTAAATAAAAAAACAACAAAAATAAAAACAAGATATGTTTGTGAAAACTCTGATGCCCTCGTATGGCAACTTAGCGAATGTTATACTTTCTCAAATGCAGATCAAATATGATGGTGCCCAAAGTAAGGCGCCGACCTCACACAAGAAATACATTCGTGAAATATGAAACCCGAGCACCACCTGTTCAAAAGTTATGGCCAATGTTAAAGTTTTTAAAAAGAAGGTCAAAGTAAAAAGGGTCAAAGTTTTTGATTTCGAATGGAAGGTCTTGTCTTACAGATTACATATCGTCGCTGTAATATCAAAATGCCGTAAGTCGATTTTTGGCGCCAAATTTTTATTGCTATTTTGGAATCTGCTATATCGAATACAGGTTCTGTCAAAACTTCATGTCTCTAGGCCTATTAGAAAGTGAGATACAGACGTGTGATAAAAGGGCGTATGTCCATTGGATGCATTTTTTTCTGACAAAAGGTCGTATGTCTCTGGGCACTGACAAGGATGTCACTGGCAGTCTGATATCAAGGTAAAAATTAAGATTTAGTTAAATCTTTTATAATTTTTACTAAAAAATGTGTTCAACATACAAAACAAAGTATATTTATTTAATAAACAGAGAAATCAATAGAAAGATTGATGAAAAGTTAGATGTTAGGTTACTTCATGACAAACGGAATTGTTTTCGCAGTTTGTAACTGCAATCAATTTATGAGTATGTTAAGTCATATAATACATTTTAGAGCGTTCTAATATCAGATTCGTACGCTTACAATACATTGCAAGGGTTTGTTTCAATGCTTTTCTGGAGATACGACAATTTGTACTGAAAAAACATCCAGGACAGAAAGGAAACACTAGACATACGACATAAAAATATGTTTTTTGTCTCTCCTGAAAAGTTGGGATTTTTGACTTACGACAATTTGATATTACAGCGACGATATGTGAAATACGAAAGCCATAGCCCTAACGGTTCAAAAGATTTATCCAAGGATAAACCTTTTTAACAGTAGGTCAAACTCAAAGGTCAAGGTTAAAGTCATTGGTTTCTGTAGAAGTTCTTGTCACAATGATTACATGTGTGAAGTATGAAAGCCCTAGCCTGAAACGTTCAAAAGTTATACTCAAGATTAAAAGTTTTTTGAAAGTAGATCAGACTTCAAGGTCAAAGGGTCAAAGTTGTTGATATGCAAAGGAAGGTCTTGTTACAAGGATTACATATATGAAGTATGAAAGCCCTAATCCCCATTGTTCAAAAGTTATGGCCAAGGTTAAAGTTGGTTAATATTTGCAAAGCTGGGTCAGACTCCAAGGTCAAGATCAAGTTTGATCGTGTCACAAGAAATACACATGTGAAATATGAAAGCCATAGTCTCAACCAATCAAAAGTTATGGTCAATGTTAAAGTTTTTGCGGACAAATAGATTAACAAACAGACAGACAGACAGTGCAAAAACTATATATCCCCGAATCTTCGATTACGCGGACATAAATATCAAAGGAATTGCAAAAATATTTATTAAATAAACCCAGAAAATGCAACACCTACTAAGCAGAACTTTCGTAAGCTTTACATGAATTTTTTTTTAAATATTGTTTACATTGTTGTATCTACAACAAAGAAATTAAGCTATGACAATGACCAGGTACAAAGTTTACAAAGAGAAGAAGGCCAAGTTCCAGTCTAACGGATGTACATATTTCTAATGACACTTAGAAACGTCAACAAAGGGTTCTAGATCAGAAGAAGTCGACGTAGTTCCGGTTTACAGTCGGACTGAATGACTCAGTTCTAATAAAATACCAATTTAAACTGTATACCGTAGAAAATTCTCAATGTGTAAAGTGTTTTAGTGGCAAAGATTCCCATTGATTACAATTGAAATGAGTCACTGGGTGAGGAAAGAAGAAGCGGAAAATATGTCCGGTTTGCCTTGAGACTATGACAATTATTTTCTTTTGGACACAAACTAGGTCCTCTTTACATAAAAGAAGAAACCAAAAAAATTTAAAAGTATATTTTTAAGCATAATTTCCCGAAAAGTAAGAGCATATCCTTTCCCTTACTTAAGTTAAATTGCTTGTCTATTTGTAATACTGCAAGGTTGGATTTACTTTATAAGAATTACATCCCTACCCCACCACACTATGAAACATGTTAGTTGTACACGGCTTCACTTTCCATCATTGGTCAATCAACTACCTTTCACTTTTTAATTCTAGACACATTCTTATAAACCAATATATGTATAATTTATACACCATCTAAACCTTTATAGTCGTCTCTAAAAGCGACAAACTAGCTTGATTTGAATTGGTCGTTGGATTGCAGAAAATTCAGATCAAGATAGCTTATTGCCTGTAGAGACGGCTATAAAGGGTTAGGAGGTAGATAATATACAAAATAGTTTTAAAAAATGTGTCTAAAATTAATATAAGTAAAAGGTAATTAATTGACCAGTGGAAAAATTCTTCCCAAAAGTGCACAAAAAATTTTGCGCTGTAAATTACACATTTATGCATTACGGAATCTGTAGCATTATGGTCAAAAACTAATATGTAAAACGATAACGCTGCTGTTCAGGACCAGAAAAGAATTTTATTTTAAAACAGTACAACTACACTACACTAAAAAATACAAGTAGGAGAGGGAAGATCAATTAACCATTTAAAGAAAAAGTTCACTGTAAATTAACAAGGTAAATTTCAAAGAGTGGGGGAGCCCCCTCCCCCTCCCCGATCCCAAGTTCCTGGGTATAACAACAAAAATGGAGGGAGGAACAATTGCAAACAGCCCCCCAAATGACAAATAAATTTATGCTTAAAAAAATGTACTATCAATCATGTTTTCGAAGAAATAACCCCCAACCAACCTTCGAGAAAGGATTTGCGAGGTAATGTACCCCCATCCCCACCCCACGTTGGTACGGACCTGCAGAATTTTTTTTATTACGCAACATATGATCTGATGTTGCAATACATTTTCAATACTGACTGACGTATCATCGGAATTTATTTTTTTTTTGTGCACCATCTTTTTTTTTAAATTGTTGTTCAGATGTTTTAACTTATAGGTAATATTATGAAAAAAAGAGGAAAGCAATATTTTCTTATAATAAATGCAAATTGCCTTTAAAAGCAACAACTCTTTCCAACCCTAAGTAATATTTTTTAATAGATCCCCCTTTCCAATGCAAAAGAAGGCAGCTCGAGTTACCTCTCTTTATGTAACGCTGACTGCCAGTCTAACTTGTCATGTTGCACTCTTCATAAAATATAAGAAAAACATAAATATTCTTTCCACAAAATGGCTATACATTTGATTTCTACATTTTTATTTGCAATCATTTTTGTGCTTTTATAAACATTAACTGCTGTAAATTAGGAACGAATCATATGAAATGTTATTGATTTATGTTTTTTGGTCAGCGACCTATATTGTATTGAAATAGAAAAAAAATGCTTTAAAAGCATTAATAAATTAGTGTATGAGACCTCTGAGGACTTCTAACATACGATGGAAAAATTACATTCTATTTCTTTTGCGTATACTTTTCAAATTGGTTTATTTAACAAAAATCCCGTTTTAAGAGCCTTACAAATCGAATAAGTTATATCTTTATAAGAACATTTTAAGATTAATGTAATGTTTCAAGTACCAAATACAGAATTTTTTTTAGAATAAGTATAATATTTTTTTCCAATGAATAAAAAATATTTAGGTTAAGGTAGTCCGATCCTCAGGTTAATAAAAATTAGCAGCTAAGTAATCAAAAATACTCATAAAAGTATCTCTGAATCCACAAAAATATGTACTTTACAGTGAAAGATTAAAATTAATCATATTGCTGTATATAGGGAAAATTGTCGAATCTCCAATATTTTTGCAGAAAAAGCGAATTAGAATATCAGCAATCATTTTCTAATTGCAAATTGATCAACAAATATATTTTAGATTAAAAAACGATATAGGCATCCAGGCAGTCAGAGAAATTGTCATGATTTTAATACTTTTTTGGTATTCAATGTCTTCTATTTCCTTCATGTATTCTATAATACATGGTGTAAAAGGCTTTTGCTATCATTGCAAGACACCACAAATCACTTCTTATTTCATATCATGCTAATAAGCATTGGTTTCTAAGGCTGGATTTACTAAAATCTTATTTCTCTAAAACTGTATTATTTTTTTCCTTTTATAGGGTAAAAATGTCAACTTTTATAAGACCTTTTCGAGGACTTCCACAAACCCTGACTCTTATAAGGATGAATAAAATGAAAATTGTTGCATGAAAAAAATTTCATTTTCAAGCTTTATTTTGAAGCATTTCAAATTAAATATTAATTTTTGGAGTTATCCTTCCTAGCTGAGGATCATATATCCTTAAATATATTAACTTTTGCCACCAGCTATATTTTTTTCTTTCAACCAAATACAAAATTAAGATAATCTGACTTAGGAAGGAGCGTTTTATTATGTTTTCTTATATGACTTTAATAGGTGAAACGTATGGAGATAACGAACAGTATTCAATGTCAAAATCAATAAAACAATACAAAATAGGAGCAGAGCAAACACGGACTCCCAAAACATCAGAGGTGGAATCAGAGGCCATGGAGAAGTGAGCAGCCTCTGCCAACCGGTCACACCCGCCAATTCAGTGTATAAATAATGGACTAACAATAAGTATGAACAAGATGTGTTTGTGAAACACTATGCGCCCGGCGGCAACAAAGTTCGGAAAAAGCTATTTTTAGCATTAAGGTCACAAGGTCCTTGGTGTCATTTGAAAGAGCTTGATTAGTGGAGAATGCGTACCAAATATGAAAGCTCAATCTCTCATGGTTCAAAAGTTATAGTGAGGGTTCAAAAAAGCTATTTTTA